TTTATTCTTGAATTAGCGGAGTGCTAAAAAAAGGTTCCAAGTTTTTTTTTTGCACACCGCACTTTTCATACATACATTTGACAGATAGAGGTCATTGGCTTTCCTATTCCTATTTGAATCACATTATACTTCTATTAATCAAACACTAACAATCAATTAAAAAAAATGGGTGCGTGTACTTATGTAGGCGCGTGAGAAGTTATCCTTCTTTGGCATCGTTTAAAATTAGTTTTTAATTGCATGCAATTAATTTATTACTATAAATTAATAAAATTGTTACTATAAATTAATAAAAAGGACACAGTCAATAAAGTTCAGTTTTAATTTTGAAAAAATAAATAAATAATCAAAATATTCAATTAAAATCGCTACTAAATATAATTTATTACAACATATGTGATTTGCACTTGTATGAAACTCAAACACGTATTCCGAATATACAAACTAGACACATGTGGATAAATATTATAAATATGAATACCTATAACTGTTACTTTATTACAAAAAATAAAGATGTGGTTTTTGGTTCTACTACACCAATGGTCAAGAGATGGCGCTGTAGTCTTCTGAATCGCGCTTTGGTTCCGTTGTTCCAGATTAATAAATACTTTTGATATTATAAATATGAATACCTATAACTGTTACTTTATTACAAAAAATAAAGATGTGGTTTTTGGTTCTACTACACCAATGATCAAGAGATGGCGCTGCAGTCTCCTGAATCGCGCTTTGGTTCCGTTGTTTCAGATTAATAAATACTTTTGATAGGCCTTCACAATGCAGTCGTTAGCACCCACTAAATAGAGATTCTATTTCTATTTTGTTGGTAGATTTTCTTAATGTGCGGTAAACACAATTTTGTGTTACAGTGATGCGCGCGCATCTTAAAATTTCACTCTCATCATTTTTTCGTAACGCGCCTAAAGAAGTATAACTTCAAAAAGCTCACTTAAAATAAGTGTGAAGATACAGAAACGTGATATAACTCATTTGAAAATGGAACGACTTGGTGTGACTGGCCGAATAGCAATAAAAAAAGAAAGAAAAACATAGGAGTGTCAATATTTTGGCAGGAACTTAAAAAATTGCTTAGATATTTTTGTGTGTATCGCTGTGTGGTTGGGAAAATGCGTTTAACAAACACTGAACAGTTGGAATTATTGGGAGCTTACTTAAAAAATGACAGCAATTGCTCCCGAGCACTAAATTGGTAGGGGAGACCGGGGCAAGACGAAGCTCGGGGCAAGACGGGAAGTGTGCTTTTGTGTGTGACTGGTGAACGCAACAGAGCTTAACACAGCGCCATTCGCTCGATATTCAGCCGCGTCGCATGAGGCCGGCGGGTGCGTATGTGTCACTGCGTGTTTTGGCTGCGTGGCGAGAAAATATAGATTTTGGGAGGATTTTTACGACGTTTTCTGTTTTGAATCGATGTGCACCTAGGTAGGTATCAGTACTATTGCATTATCTAACCGCATACTTATTGCAGTAGTGTAAAACTAACGAATTTAGGTTGCTTTTTTGCTTAATAATTTTGCAGGTTAGAACTGTTATTACTTTTGAAAAATGAGTCTGTTGGGGCAAAAAGGTCGGGGCATAATGACATAGTATTCCGTTTTGCCCCATATATGTTAGTAAAAGAGTGTTTCATTACTATACAATAATAAGTTTTTTATTTGTAAATAAGAAATTTTTAGTAAGGAATAAATAAAGTTTTTAAAAGAATAAAATCAAAAGACGCAAAGAAGAAAGTGACACTAGTTCATCTGAAGACGATGAAAATGATTGTCCTTGTATATATTGTGCGTACTTATATTCACAATCCAATAAAGGATGGGTTATTCGTAGAGAGTGCAAAGGCTGGACCCATAATTCTTGCGCAGGTATCATGGAGCACCCCCACTAGAGTCCGCATCACACAAATTTTGTTTGGAATCAAAATCGCCAAAGTCGGTGGGGTGCAGGGAGGTCAGCCCCGCTGTGATTGGACGCGTCAAGGTCAGATCATATACTCAGTGCAGCGAAGTGATGAGGGTAAAATCGATTTTAGAAAATATCGATATTTTCTATCGATAAACAATTTAGAATAGAGGCCTAGTACTTTGCTGCGCAAATGCGTAATCATACCCTCTCCACTTTCTTCCAGCGTTCTAATTACATGACGCGACTAGTAACTACATACTAAATTATATATAAGCAACACAAAAAAAAACACGTCCAGGACAAGAAGCAACAATGCAACGATATTAACTACCCTAGATACAACAACACGAACAAAATCGTGGCCGAAACGTGTCCAAAAGGTACATTGGACGACCACGGAGGTCCGTAAGATGATCGCGTGGTCAAAAACAATATAATGCCTTATTTAAACATTGAAAGTCACCTTTAATGCATACGGCATAAGGTCTTAATTAAAATGCATGCGTCAAGTTCGTAAAATTTTACGATTTATTGTTATATGTGAAAGAATATAGACCTTATTTTTTTTTTACTTTTCACGCGCAATTCTGAATGCGCTGTTAGCAATATAGCAGGTACAGACCGCGAAGAAAAGAGATGGCTAAGGGCGACGTATAACCGACCATGCATTTGAATATCACAAATATTTTAAATTAAATCAGTTTATAGTAAGTATTACAACAATAAAATTTGCTTTAAAGGCGTTAATTAAAAAACATTAATTAGATACCCTTCGAAAAAACGACACTTTACGTACTATTATTATTTTTCTGCATTTTTTCACGGAACTCTTTGGCATCTTGACTTTTCAACGGTCCGCGTGTGACTGTGTGTACTAAGAAGTGCTTGAGTGGAGTTCAAGCACTTCTTGATTGGGACACATTTTGAGCGCTCGTGGTGTATCTAGGGTATTTAATATCGTTAATTCTATGTCTTTATCTAGGTCATAAACTATGCGCACTTAATTTCATACAAATCCGTTTAACCGTTTTAGCGTGAAAGAGTAACAAATATGCATACAAATTTTCGCGGTTTTCAATTTTATTAGGATATGTTTGAAGTCAAAAAAAGACTGTTGGTTGTATACTTATGACATCTATTATTGTATACGATGAAATAAATAGTTTTTATTTATTTTTTCATTTCCATAGCTGACAAACTTATCGATAAACTTACGCGTTGAGACATGAGCTGCGTCCGAGTCACTAGCAATACACGTGCCGGTGTGAGAGCGAGATAACATATATGATGTAGCCCATGCGAGAAAGGGATAGTGTAAAAAGACATCAACGCGTTCACCAAAAAATAAATACAATTAACAGCAATTTAATATAACAGTATTTTTGTCTTTTTGTAATGCATTTAAACTAACCAGTGAAAAGTAATACCATTTTTTTGAAGACTGGAAGTTGTACTCGACTTTCCACACAATTTAATTGCACAGTACGGCATTTTTTAGTTTTTTAACACGAAAACGAGAGAAGCAGTTCGACCAACGCTCGGTTACCGAATGAAACGATGTATCGCGACGTCTGTGGGCGTGCCTCACGCATAGGTAAAATACTACTTAAGCTTGGCGTAAGCGCTTGCCCTTGTATGCGGACTCTAGTGGGGGTGCTCCGTGGCAGGTATAGACGATGAGGATGAAGATGCACATACATGTGAACGTTGCCGACCAGATTAAAATGTGTACTCATTTTGCCCCATAGCGTTTCCCATTTTGCCCCGATCATGGGGCAAGACGAGAAATTTGGCATGTGTCATTTAGTTCCTTATTTCCAAAAAAATATGTGATTTAGAGTGATAAAACATTATAATTTTGTTAATTAAGATTATAAGTATTGCATTTGTTCTAAGAAATTTATAATAAACAGTTTGATTTTCATATTATGACGTTTTTTCTCTTAAGTATCCCATCCTGCCCCGGTCTCCCCTACTATATTAAATATCCGACACGTATTTTACCTACGCGTAAGATATTCATTAAAATTGTATATAATTTTAAACTTTCATGGTCACTAACATTATAGCTCTTTAACGGGATTGTTACCAATACCTTGTTTTACAAAATATGGGAGACCCATAAAAAACAAGGTACATGGTAACAATCCCTTCATTAAAATTGTTCACAATTTAAAGACCCATGGAAGTTTCAAAAAGCCAAAAAAATGTGATGTGAACATGAAAATGAACGTTTTAACCTATTTAGAAGCAACACCGATGCCCCAATTAGTGATGCACGTCGTGATATTCCTAAAATTTCACTTCTAACTATTCATAGAATCCCAAAGAATTACAAATACTAGTGCTACAAGAATGGACATTGGGTGCAGGCCTTACATGCAGGGGATAAAAGAAGTAATGGGTCACAGACATTTTTTAAAATACGTAATAAGTGTACAAAACAAGCTATGACACCGTTGAAGACCTAAAAGAAGCCATATAGTCATTTTTAACGCAAATTCACCACATAGATACAAAATGCAATTAGAAGATCGTGTTGAATATTGTATTGAAAAAAACGGTGGTCACTTCGAACACCTACTGAAATAAAGTATGTGAAAACAATGTATTTTATTCATTTTAGACATCATGTTTCATAGAGCCATTAATGCTTAAGACCTACACAATCGATATCTAAATAGAAATAGTTAAGTTTATTTTTTTCAAAACAACCGGGTTCGATTCCCGAGCTGAGTAGTTTTTTTTTAATGTATGAATGCAGTTTTTCTATTTAATAAAATGGATGACACTTATAGCTTCAGAATTTCCCATTCTGACCGATTTAGATGAGACACCCTGTATAGGACTAGAAAGGACTGAGACAATTTATCAACTCCGTTTTTCTTAGATGGAAATGTCCGTAATGGTTGCATGCTGTAGTACGTATTTCTTATAGCCGACATAAAAAATCAATCGAATTCGGCACTGTTCGTCGATATTACCCAAAATTTCGCACAGAGAAACATGAATGTCGGATAGGCTAAATAATAAAAGTAATAAATCGACTGCTAAGAACTTTAGCAGACAGGAGATTTATCGAATTACTGAAACAACTATGTGATAACATCTATCTAATTTATTGATATTACAACATTAGGGCGGTTGTACCATTCCCCAGTTAACTTGATTATTAAATTGTATTACAGTAATGATACTTATTCAATAAGACATAGTTTTCTTAATAAACATAATAACATAGTCAGTGAAAGTTTTCCTATTTTATAAATAATATAAAGTCTTTGGTATCTTAGCAACACAAATATGTTACAAACAATAATTGTAACATATATAATGGATAACAACTTCAATAATTATTTAATATACGAAATCTTTCTTATACTGACTTATTTTAATTAAAGATATTCTAATTTACCAAAACGCTAATATTGTCACCAATTGGATTTCAAAATATTTACAAATAGAAAACAGTTTACAAATAGCTGTGGTAAAATTTGTCTTCATTGGTGTCAATTATGGTATGATTCTCTATAGTTAAACCTAAATTTAACATCAGTCTCTCCTTTTCACTCTGTATAGATAAAGACATACACATACATACACTATTGTCAAGTTTAGGTTTAGAGAATCATGCTAGAATCGACACCATTGTTAGCTTAGTTGTAGTAGGACTGGGGCCGCCACTGAGGGCATAGCATGGTAAGGGATTTTAATGCAACGCATCAACAAATTATATAAGAGAAAAACCTGGCACCAACAACCAGCGACATTGAAATCTAACAATCATAATGTTATGTCGATTTGTAGCGTAATACTTTGTGCTGCATGTGTCCATGGGCGACAGTGACCACCACTGGTGGATTGCCAGGTCGTTTTCCTGCATAATGCCTTGCAGTACCGTCCGAACAGTAGCCGACGGCCCTTGAAGAAATTTCATTGATTACTACAAATAGAAAATTCGGTAAAAAGAAGGCACAGCAAGGTAGTCAGATATAAAATAAAAACCGTATACGTGTATAATTAACCTATTGCTGCCAATAATAAAGTAGCAATATCCACCCGGGTTGAGCGAGCCGTCAGCTGCATAGTGACTGCTCCTTGCGCAGCCACCAAACGAGCTCTTATAAGAATAGGTGCACCACCTCGCCATAAACCTCCACCGCGGATCTCTTTCACAGCGTCTCCACTAATTGCAGATTTCGGTAAACCTAAGTGTTCACAAACAGCAATGGTAGCTTCACTGACGTCTCTTTGAGATAGTCCGAACGTGTCACAAGCTTCAGCTGAAGAAGCAGCCCGTTCCCAAGAAGCTTCCCAATCATTAGTAGCAGCTCTTGCCCTAAATTGATCCGCACATGCAACTTCCACGTCTTCTAGTGGATATGTATCAGCATAGCCTTCGCTGCCATCAGGTAAACCAGTAGTTGGATCGCAATCAACACAAACAAATTCTAGTACTGCGCCAAATGAGCCCAGTGTTTCTATAGGGCTTTCAGGGAATTCCAATAAACAGAAAATACTATCTTGTTTGTCAAACACTAATTGACCACAAGGAACTTCACATAAGAATTTATATCCAGAGATAGAATCCAAGCGAATATGTACATTTTCTAAAAGCATGTTGCTAAGTGTATTCAAACATTCAAACTGTAAAATTATGTGGCGCTCAAAGATGTGCTTCACGCAACGCACACGATATTCTGTTTCAGGCTCAGTCAAATCGACACTTTCGCAAGTTTTAAATATGGGCCCAAGTTTTTCAATGCCAGGAACAACGTTCAATTCTTCGGCATATTTTTCCTCGCGCGATATTATTGGTAACTTACACGTTTCAATTTCTATTAAAGCGTCTTTGGTTTCTTGTGGGTCTTCCACAGATGGTACTGAGGCAATGTTAAATGGTTCTTCTGGTGTAGAATTGAGGTAATCATTCAGTGCCTTTTCTAGGAGCACTGGATTAGGGATCGGCACATTAATAATATAGTCGTTGATCAGTTGCGGATTCTCCGAATCTAAAATAGCGCTATAGTAAATAGCTCGATCCCGAACTTCATCTTCGTCGTCCAATTGACAACGAGCCAATAAGACCCTTACGTTAGGAAGAAGTTCTGGTCGGGTGGCTCCAAAACGAGCTACTGTCGATACAGCAGCAGCACGAACTGCACCAGCTTCCAATATCACTCTGTTATAAATGTACCTAATGTACCTTGACGGTTGACGAGCTTTGGGTCCCTCACGACCGAGAACATGCAAAATGCGCACAGCTAAGGATGAGTGCTCACAATCCTCAATAAACTCGCAAAGATGAGCCAAACATGTTTCTTTTGCATCTAGATTTTCTTCAACTAATGATATGATAGCATCAGCAATAGCTGTTTTATATTGAAGACCTCCTTCTTCTCTTAGCATGTCCGACAAAACGGTTGAAAAAGATTGATGTTTGCTTGGAAATTTTGAGCACAGGCGTCGGATTGCTTGAACCACAACAATTTTAAAATCATCCGATATCTCAGACAGAAATCCTGGTATTTGTTTTATTAAACGATCGATAGAGCTTTTCGCACCTGTGGCAAGAAGAGTAGTGACTGCTAATGTAGCTACAGAGCGATTAGGATCTGAAATTAAATTTTCCAAATCCACAGCACAATCGGCAACAGCATTCGGGTGCTTAGCCGCCAATTTAGCTAGTGTGCGGGCACCAGCGAGGCGCAATGTAGCTTTCGAAGAAGTGCAAAATAATTGCAGAACAGAAACTGCATTACTAAGACCATTCGTCGTCTTATTTAAATTGACAAGTGCATGAGCGGCTTCATAAATTACTATCTCAGATTTATGCCTTAAACAAGATTCAATAAAAGTCATTAAACTTTCGGCTGCATCGGTTTCATCTTCTTCTGCCAATTTAGCAGCATGACGGATGAGAAGGCAAAGGGCATACGGAGAGCGAAGCGATGCGCGGGATAGTTTTGTAATAAGTTTTACCAAAGATAACCGATCGTTGCGACGACAACTTGCAACCACAGCTAATGCATGGTAGGATACCATTGTATTATCAGACATGATGGCCTCCTGTAAAAAAAAAACGTTTTAATAGAAAGTTGATGACCAAATATAGAACGCTAATTTATTATTCTTTTATATAAGTATTTAAATGTGATTCTTAACTTTATGTTCAGCAGATGGAGTTATTTAATATTATGTTATTTGCTATTGATTGTAAAACAGCCATAAGATATGCACACAATTAGCAAACATTATAAGTGGACATTCATCTCAAGCTAGTAGTAATTTGTCTAAGACATAGATAAACGTTACAAGTAAAATATGTAAAGGAAATTAATAGAAGTTTTTCACAATAAATACAATATCTTTTTGATTTGGAAAATAATCTGTAAGCAGCGATATTAAATACCCTAGATACACCAACACGAACAAAATCATGCCCGAAACCTGTTCAAAAGGTACATTGGACGATCCACGGAGCTCCGTAAGATGATCGCGTAGTCTAAACAATATCAGGCATTATTTGAACATCGAAATCACCTTTAAAGCACACTGTATAAGGTCTTAATTAAACCGCATGCGTCGAAGAGTTATGACAGTCCGAGATGTAAGCTCATAAAATTCCACGACTTATTGCTATATGCGGAAGAATATAAACCTTATATCTTTGACTTTACGCGCAATTCTGTAAGCGCTGATAGCAATATAGCAGGCACGGACCGCGAGGGAAAGAGACGGCTATATTACTGACCATGCATTTGTGTTACCGACCACTAGCGCCATCTAGTGAGACATCTGCGGACGAACGCGAAGAACCGAGTGGAGAAACTTAAACGTCACACACATCTCTCGACTACCATACGAAACGGCACGCATATTTAAATATTTTATTTAATTTTGTAATTTATACGAATAAAGCAGTGTAAACGATTTATTAACCAAATTAGTACCGAAGACCCCCGTTCCCCACCAAATATTGAACCATCGAGCCAAATACGAAGCGAAGAAAAATCTGCATAATCATCGGAGGCGTTGGAAATTCAAACTACACGAGCTCATCAGTGGTGAAACGGTCTGGTCTTTGATCCTTCTACTCCTTCCTAGGTAAACGAATCGTATTAAAACAGTGTTTGTGTTTCCAGAAGGTCTGTGTGTCGTGCTTAGCTTTCGCGCCTGCCTTAAACTGTGAGTACCTTATCTTTACTTAAACGTAGGCCTCTAAAATGGATAGTGAAGATAATTTATCAGTGCCTTCCAATGGTCGGCCTGTTCCTCCTTCTAGAAAACAATAAGTGAATTGTCTAATCTTAAAAAGCAACGCGGTAATTTGAAGGGTAGATTGACCCACTTTAAAAAACATCTAGATAATTTTGAATTCAATAGCCCGTCTCAGCATCAAATTAAAGAAATTAAATTTGTAAAAAAAATGCAAGCTATTAAAGATTTCTATATAAAGTTTAACGAAATAGTAAATCAGATCGAACTGTATTCTCCTGATTTTGATCCATCAAATGCAGATTATGTCGAATCTTTTGAGTCGTTATATTTTTGCATATTAGCAACCGCTGAAGGTTTAATCGAAAGTGGCGAGACCTCTAAATGTAACAATAATTTATCTGGAGCTAGCGTCAAACTGCCTGATATAAAGTGGCCTTCTTTCGATGGTTCATTCGACCATTGGCTTGAGTATAAAAATTCTTATTTAACTATGACCCACAAACGTTCAGATTTAGACGACATCCAGAAGTTTCATTATTTGAAATCTTCACTCAACGGCGTGCATTGCAGGTCATTAGTGCATTAGAATTCACGGCTAGTAATTATGAACATGCTTGGCAGTTATTAGAAAACAGATTCCATAATACTAGTACATAGTTATGTATCCGCAAGCAATACGAGTTATAAGTTTAATTCGTCTAACCATAGCAAACGAGTTTCTAGCAATCATTTTTGTCCCCTATGCAAAGGTAATCACGCATTATTTACTTGTTTTAAATTTTTGAATTTATCAGTTAGGGATAGAATTAAATTCGTAGACGAAAAACGTTTGTGTCATAATTGTTTGCGTAAGGGACATTTAGCTACAGATTGTCTATTTGGCTCGTGCAAGCAATGTCAAATAAAACATAACACTTTGCTTCATATAAATATAAACGATGCGGACACGTCGGTGCATAGCGAGCTCGTAGTGACGTCACACGCTAGCCCGTTGACCGCGTTTCATTCTTCAAGTACCTGCCATACCTTACAAAACAAATAACTTACAAATAATTTATATTATTTGTAAGTTACCCCGTCCAATACGCCCGTATTGCAACCTGTGTTATTGTGTACGGCGTTGGTTGATATAATTGATAAAGATAAACGTATTCACACAGCCCGCGCGCTGTTAGATAACGGTAGTCAACACTGCTTTATAACAGATACATTAAGAGCCCTTTTACAAAATTGCGCCTCTCTTGTTTAGGTAAATACGGCCGCGAGCGTGTCCGAGTCGCACGAGCGAGACATCGACGCGGCGATGTTCAGTATAGCGCGCTTTACCAAATTGATACTTTAATATGCAATTATTGATTATACAATAAATGCCATTATAAAATAAAGTTAATTTGAAGTGCTAAGATGGATCCCTACTGTAGCAACGAACGATTCTAGATAGGAATCCTGAGTGGAGCAAAGGATACAAGGATTAAGTTTTTTTACTATTGCGAGAAAATAAATAATATATTTATAGTACCCATTGGTTGTTTTGGAAATGACAATAAAGATTAATTATGATTAATACTAATTATTGTAACTTTATATGTATGCTTTGCATAACTTCTGTTTGTTCAAATTTTCTTTTATTCACTCAGTAATTAAATGAAAAATTGTTCACTGTTATCGCTGAATGAAATCCCTTTTTCGAGTGGCAATGAGAAATAATATTTTATTTACTTGTGTTTTTTAGTATTGACTTTGTTAATGATGATTGATGTTTGGTAATAATCAAATATCTCAGTAAAACTGTACTAAGTGTAGTTTTGTCTTTGCCTTCATAGTTCATTTAATAAATAGATATAGGCAATACTGGAAATACATTTCCAATCCAGACACAGATATGGTACGTAAATCAGCAAGTTACTGTCAATTGAACTTATGGAGCAAAGAAGTCTAATATAAAATATTAAAAATAAACTTTTTTGCTCTAGAAATGCATCCCATTACTTTGAGTTTAAAACAAAAAACCAAACTGCTAACATTGTAAACTATGTACCTAGTGTAGTAGTGAAATACCCATTAAGTCAGTATAAAACAGATAAAATATTTACATTTGAGTTTGACGCTTCCCTTTGTTCCTCGGCTTCGATTTCCAATCCAACAGCATTTTTTTCCTATATAAATTAATTTATTATTATAAATTTAAATAATAATAAAAGTATTGTTATAAATTTAATATCTTTTTTCATTGTCTAAATAACTTACAGTTTCCGTTGCAATCAAATCCATTGAACTTATGGTCGGTATAGTTTCAGTATTTTCGGGGTTGCCATTAAAATTTTGTTTCCATCTAACATAAATAGAACTGTGAATTTCTATTCTAAATATATTATTATGTTGGGCCAATATGTACTTTGGCCGCCCACGAGCTTATACTTGTTATACTTGATCGAAATGCAACATTTTACCGTACTCTAGCTTTTTTTTACAGACATAAGAGTAGATTGTAAGAAGCTTAAGTTTAAATCGGGGAATGTAGGGTGGTCACAACTGGCCGCTTTATTGGAAAACGCGTTTATAGCTATATCTCCTAAATTATTGACTGTACGGAAAAAATGTAGTGTTTTTTTGTTTACTACTAAATTCTCTAACTTCTTTCTCTCAAACTTTTTATTGTAACTCTTACCGTTTTTCAATTGTTGTTGTTTATTTGAACATGTTTGTTGTTATTCCTTTATCAAACCTTAAAAATGTCATTAATTGATAAAAAAACGTCGTATACAAGTTATCCGTGATTAAATTCCCTACAAGTTTTGTATATTTTTTTTTATTAAATAAATACTTTTGAAGTTAATAGTCGTTAATGTGCGCAAAAACGGGCATTGAAATGAAATTACAGAAGTATCCGAAAAATTCACTTACTTTCATACAAATTGAAGCTGATGATGATTTGTGTTGGATTGTTATCAATTAATTGTAAAAAAATGTAATAAAAAAAATAGGGGACAAAAATATAAATATTATAAATAATATTAGTGATGAGAATCAATTGCACATATACAAAACTCTGATATACTGCGTTATTGCTACGTTAACGACTCATAACTTTAAAAGTATTTATTTAGTAAAAAAAAGATTTATGCAAAAGTTGTAGGAAATTTAATGATGAATAACTTTCATAACATGTTTTTTTATCAATTAATGGCATTTTAAAGGCTTTAAAAATAAAGCGAAATGTTATAAGCATATTCATCTTTCTTCACAAGCTTTCTTTATGGCTGCATCAATCTTTCGTTTTCTTTTTTGACACAATGATAAGCAGGAATTTACGCCCCATTGTAAAAGCTAATAACAAAAATATTAGTTGAAGCAACGATAGTTAATAACTAGGGAGGTACTTATCATAATAAAAAATAATACGGTTGTGGAAACTAACATACAGTTAACGATTAAAGATTTGCGGTCGTAGTATATCCAGCCAGTTTTACGATGAATGCACTCGTAGCATCGCTCGGGACGCGTGCGGTACAAAGCGACATAGGTCCGACCTCCAAAGGCGCTGGCGCCGTACTGAACGGCGCCTAGATTTGCACTAGTATATATTGCATTTTACGGGTGATGTTCAGAGTCTTATAAAATAATAATTAATGAACATTTTATAAAAATATAAATATATTTCAATAGTTCAATGATTGTAGATTAGTTTTATGAAAGTTTTTTAAAGTAATTCTATTTAATTCAATATCAAAATACGAGGTAAACCTGCGTTATTTTTTGGGGAAACTCACGGAGGTTAGATGTTTTTTTAATAATTAATGAGATGGAAAATCAAGATTCTAATACATTATGTTGCAACAAAAACATAT